AGCACTTTATAAATAAAGTTAGCTTGGTTTGGATTATTTTTAAAAAATATCTCCTTAAAAATACGAGGAAACTAGGCAACTAACAAAAAAACTAAAAAAACAACAACAATTACACTCATAAAGAAACATGTGTAACATACTTGCAGTAGCACATTTACATTTCAGCAACAACAATATGGCAATCATTCTGTTACATGATATGTTGAAGGGTTGAGATCTAGTTTCAAATGGCGAATATTGTACGATAGAAAAATCCAGTCTCTAGAAAGTGAAAAACTTTAGTCTCTAAGGCACGTTCATTTGGTCAGTTATTTATGGGCTTGGCATTTGTTGGTAATCCTAATCTGTAATAAAAAACATAAATCTACAGCATTTTATTGTGTCCCAAGAGAATGGAATAGTTACAAAATATCAACAGCACACACAAAGTTTATGCTGTGTCATGCTTAAGTGTGTCCTTAACACACACTCATAAATCAAGTTTATGGCAATAATTGTTAGTATTCAGCTTTGATAGTTACTTCAATCAGATTAAGGTTTTAAAACCATAAAAGCATCTAAAGTGCTTGAAAGGCAAACAGTGGACAGTACCTAGCGGTTGCCACGATGTTATGAAAGACCATCATTCACTGGATAAATCAGGCCATACTTCCTCCAATAACATAAGTGTTTCTTCTGGAGGCGTGGTTATGAAGCTTTGCCCTGTCCTTCAACTCACCTGTAAAGAGACGAAAGATTATCTTCTCTTGGTGATAGGCGAAGCTGGTTATGATCGCTAGCTGCAATAGTGAGGCTGGTAGTGTTTTCGCTCTGTGAACTTTGGCCGTTTGTCTCTACATGTGTCATTCTGCCAAAATGAGGTCCTAAAAGACCCCTCCTGCAGTGGGAACTATAACAAATGGTGTTTTTATTGTGCGTTTATGGCACATCTACAAAAGAAGGAGTTTAAGAACAGAGCGAGAATTTAGTAAAATTCTAATTCTTAAATGCAACTTCAGCACCACCGTCAGAGACAGATCGGCTGTTTCAGCAAACTGGAGATAATTCTGTTTCCCAAACGGAGAAAACATAAACAAGCAATAGTGCCTGTCTTAATATGACCTCTCTCAGCAGGCTTTCAGAAAACCAACACTACATCTAAAAAGTCTGGACTACTGCTGAAGACCACTTCTAAGAAAATACTACGAGAAAGTCTTAAATGGGTGGCAGCAAAAGAGAAACTATATTTCTTCTGACTTACCTTGACAAACCCAGTTTATTACTGCATACTTAAAAAAGGGTTGTCGAGTTCCTTGTAGGCGACTTCTACATCATCTACCATGAAATTCCCTGTAAAAAAATCTACCCTGTAAATGACCACTATAACACAAAAGTGATTTTAATGGTAGTGTTTTTATTCATGGTTGTAGAAAGGAGGCAAATAACCATGACAAATAAGCAGTGAAGTGTTAAGTGTGTGGATGTTATGATGATGAGATATTTAAACTATAAGCAGTTCAGACTGAGGATACAAATCAGCAAAATTAAGCAATTTATAAAAAACAAAAAAACAAAAAACAAAAGAATATGGTACACTCAAAGGACTACAGGGGGCTTTGTTGCTATCGGACACTAAAATTAGTGTGCCATATCTAAAGGGGGTAGTTATAGTGATGCACTCTTGTCATGCAGTCCTTCAGGAGTTCTCAGCTTATACGTTCAGCAGTGTAAGTAAAGCACCTGTGATGCCTTTTGGCTCCTCGTGGGTTAAAACAAGATGGAGAAACAAGTCGAGCAAAGCATGGAATAGGCCTTGATATTAATGCCCTGCAACCTCAAGCGCAACTCACTTCCAATCTTCAGATTACATCAGGTTGACAAGAACGGAAGCGCGTCTCCAGTGAACTTTTTGTTTTGTGCAACTGGAAACAGGTGAAGGTATTCAGGGACAAAGTAGGTTTGAGCAGCGTGACGTTTTACACGAAGAGGTCCAGACAGGCTTCATAAAAGCCATTCATAAGTTCTGTAACAACTGCATCTATGACCGACTATTTCAAAGTGTTGTCTGAGTTCATTAAAAAAAGGAAAGAGAAAAAGAAAAAAAAGGGAGGCTCACAGTGTGCTCACAGGAAGTAATCATGGCTCAATCTATTCTGGGAGTGAAATAAGACAGTTTATGCAGAATAAAGTTTGGAATTTTGCACATTATGTAGTATTGAGACTTTATACAGAGGTAAATGCAAAAAGCAAAAAGCAAAAAAAAATAATCATAATAATAACTAAAAATTAAAGCCAAGCTTAGGAAGAAAAAAATATGGAAACCACAAACTGAGATTTATTTTTACACATTCCTTCATACTTATGCCAGTAGCAAATACATTACATCAACCCTTAGAATAATCATTAAGCGCAATGCCTGCCCACATTTCCTGACTCACACACCGCTGTGAACTATACTCACACTAAAGCTTCAGAAAAAACACCATCTGCAGATTTGCAAGCACCTCAGATGGATATTTTAATGGTGCTTGTCTGTGAAATATTAGAATAAAATTCCACTTGAAAAAAAAAAAAATAAAAATACAAATCAGTAGAAATCAAAATTGAGAGAAAGCACTTTACAACTACCTAACCAGGTGGGTATTTAGAGTGTTTAAAAACAGAAGCAAAACCAACATCCAGGTGTGTTTAATATCGAATGCACTGATTGGTTTAAATAATAAAAAAAAGAAATATGGACAATTTTTTTTCACGAGCACATCCTCTACTGAAGTGTCGCTCTCTTCCTCTGCCAACATGCAATTACATGGACGCACAGCTTCAGGGATGCAATTAGTGCTGTGCAATTTGTAGTTCCCGCTGTCAGAGTTTCAAACCAGTCAAATGAGAGGGTATGAGCTTCTCTGTCTGCATTCAATGTTTTCTTGTTTTGCTTTTGCTGAAAGACACTTATATATTTCGATACAATCCCAATACATTCTAGTGGTTACAGTGGTTTAGTAGTAATCTAAAAAAACAAAAAAACAACCTCACATTACGTATGTGGGCCTGTAGTAAGAGACATGCATAAAAGGCCAGATGGAGTGGACGAGACAAAATGCAACACTCACTCGCAACTAAAAGCCGCTACTAATTAAAAACCTTATGCATTTCATTTTTTACATTGTATACAAAATTGGCACACACAAGGGAAAATAGGTTAATAAGCCAGCGGCAAATTATATATTTTTTAGAAAAGTAATGGCGTGTAACTGTGGCCTGCCTGAAACTTGACGGTGTAATGATATCAGACAAAAAGCAGAGACAAAAAAAAGAAGAAAGAAAAAAAGAGACAGGAGCCAGCAGTGAGGACCGATCCAACATTCTTCAATCTAGGACTCAGACTTTTTTTTGTTTTTCTTTAGGAAGGAAGGAGTGCGAAACTTCTTTTTCTTTTTGGAGGGGGACTTGCTGGGAGACTCGTCACCCTCCTGGTCGCCGGCGTCAACGGCTTCCTCCCCCTCGGCTGTGTCGGCAGTGGCGGGGGTGGAGTCTTCGGCAGGAAGCGCTGGAGCATCTGAAGGGTCATCGGGTGTTAAATCTGGAAGGGTCTGTCTCAGGGTGGCTGCATCACTCTCATCCTTAAAGGTTTGTTCTGGCAAGGACTCTGGTGGAGGGGCAGATGGAGAGAGTTAGTGGTCTCAGGGGACAAACTAATAGAGCTGCACTGCTGAGCGGCATTACTACAACTGGGTAAGCTGCAAAATCCATGCGATTTTCTATTTTAGATGCATCCACCTTTCTCTGCAGTCCACACAGTCATTTATTTATGTGACATAATAAAACCATCCCAAACACTGACTTAAGGTTCTTTAGTCTAAGAAAGCTTCAGTGACCACAAGTCTAACACTTGCGCAGGCAATACTCACACTACATTTAAAGAAAAAAAAATACTAATAATCCACTACTTCAACTTTGTAGCTTTTTACAGAGCAAAACCTCAACCAAGATGCACTGAACACAGCTCTCATTGGGAATTCTTCTCCCTCCGTTTCCTTTCATTTCCATCACTTTGACAGGCCTGAGCGAGCACTCTGCATTCTTTCTTTTACCTTCATTTAAACAGGGAAATCTTAATGAGGGCAGTTCCCTTGTTCATTTGTACCCTGTGTACAAACAAAACAAAATGAAATACAACAGAGCACGCATAAATCAGAGAAACGTCCACAACGCAAAGATTACATTTTTTTTAAAGTGTATTTTAGTGTATTTTTCAGGGGAAGGGAAATTAATTCAACACTGCATCAGCTCTCAAAAAGTAGTAAGCATCAACAGGAGCCACCAGTATGTACAGTATTAATCAAGCTGCTGGGAAAGGAATAAGATGTTTGCATACTTGTTGGCAAAGATCCCGTTTAATTTCTAAATACTAAACTTGTCCATATAAGCATCATGAGAGGCTTATGTGAGGGGTTTTTTTTTGCCAATAGGAAGCTTGTTTATGAGACTCCAAAAGTTGATTCTGTTCATCTGGACGTACTCATCCTCACACACTCATCCAAGTGACTTCTTGTCACTTGGATGAGTGACGAAACGTTTCTCCCAGAAAATGCTACGTCCAGATGAACAGAATCAACTTTTGGAGATTTATTTTCCTGGATGATTGAGAATGCATCAAGACCTTGTTTATGAGAGTGCCTTAAAACTCCAAGTCAGTACTGACTTTGCAAGGTTTTTCTAGTGACCTGAACTAATTCTCGTCTTTTAAAAAACCAAACAAACAAACTAAAAAAAACACTCCCAGCAAAAAAAGAAAAAGATAAGATAAGAAAAGAAAAAAAAAGTGCTGCATCATAAAAGTTCTGCTTCAAGGGTCAGTGGCACAAACAGCATCCTAAAAGTATTGCTGCAAGCTCGCACTTTGGAGTCAGCGATATGACAACTGGATTTTCATTATTTTTTAAAAACCGTTTGCATGCAACAGTGACTACTGCAAAACAAGACTCGAGAAAACAGCAGCGCATTTCGGTTTTCACATATCTTCATGTCTGTCAGTATACAGATAAGGCCGAACAACACAGACAGATAAAAATGGAGACCAAGCACCACCACACAGCCACGCTTTTGGCTTCAACCAGCTAAACCAACAGCAAGTTTGCTCAGAAAGCCACAAGAGAAATAAAGCACTCGTGTACCTGGTAAAGGACTCGTCTGGAAGACAAACGACATTCAAAAGATATTTTCAAAACATTACCTGAGTTTTTTCCCCCAGAACAGAAACATACAGTGTCATATAACAGTTACAGAAATGTGCTAATGTGCAAGAGAGGTTTGATAGCGAATAGTCGACAGGAAGAAAAGAGGTTAATGTGACAGTGAAAGTACGGTGTGAGGTTTACTTCAGGAACATCCTCCACTTACTCCACTAGAATCAAGGATCTTGCAATTTTTTTTGTGAATATCATTCTTTTTTCATTCATTCATTTTTCTTGGCATGAACTTGAAACACTAATTATGAGTGAGGAGCTCTGAAATAACCCATCAACCCCTGAGAAAGAGATTCAGAGGAGTCTAAACTGTCTGATCAGTCACACACCCCGACAAAAAGGGGTTAGTTTAGATCACAGAACACTGCTCTGCTACTGAAGCCATGCAAAGAGCAGGAAAGGGAAAAAAACAGGGTCGATGCTCACACACAGGCGTGGAGGGTGACGGGTTAATTATGAAGGTGTGGAGGAGGTGGAACAGTACATACTTACTATGGTAACAGGTACTCTTTTGAATTTCCATCTCCTGATTGTAATCGCAGCCACAAAAAAAGAAAAAAGCACAAGTAGAAACAAATGTCTATGCAGATCAAACCACAAGCATGTGTTAAATTAAAAAAGGGAAATCAAAAATGAAGGTTAAAAAAAAACATAAAATATTTATATATATCAGAAGATTAACAAAAATAAAGAATGGTTGGAAACCATTCTTCATAGACCCCAAGTAGATGGAGAATGGAAGTGAAGGGGGAACAGGAGATACTGTACAGAGAGACACATGTTATGCAACAACATTTCTGGTATTAGATTACACCTGCAATCAAAGCTAGATACCCGTTTACCCCTTAAGATGACTTCAACTGAAATTGCTCAATGTAAAAAAATAACTTCCTGTTTTTAGAGGTCAGTTCCAGTATCATTAGGAATGATACCACTGACATGGGTGTAATCCAATAGTAATAAAGACCAAGAGGAAAAAAATACATAAAAGAGTCTGTCCTCTGTCCCAAAAGCTGATAATCAGGCTCTTTTTATTATCAGCATTTCCAAACTCTTTCCTGAACTTTCAGCAGATTATCAGCCCTGAAAATATTCCTTATGAAATAAACAAAACCTCTTGGCCTGTTATTACAGAAATTAAAGCACAACACTTATAGTAGTATTATTAAAGACCACAGCAACAACAAACTCAAGAGACAGACAAGCAGGTGGATAGGCAGGAGCCTCTGCATTCCCGCTGTAGACCCTAGAAACACCCAAACCTTCCAGCCACAGAACCGGAGAAACCCATGCTGAACCAGGTAGGAAATAAGTGAGCCAAGTATGGCAGGCTAACTTACCTTCCTCTGCTCTGATTGGGGTGCTGGGTGGTGTGGATGTGGGTTTGGGGTCTTTGGGCTCGTTCTCAGACTCTACAAGCTGCCCTGGATCTGGAAGAAAGGCGAGTAGACATTAAACACTTAAATAGCCATTACCTCAGATTATAAGGTTATCAGTAGTTATCATTGTTTTGGGAGTTTTTTTTGCCTAAATATACAGTTAAAAGCCACATTTTTATGTCAATGAGTCATTCTGTGCCAACACCCACATAATGCAACACAAAAGGAGAGGGGAGATAACACACACACACAAAAAAAAAAAACTAAACAAAATAAACAAAAGCTGTAAGCTTTAATCAAGAAAGCACTGCAAACCTACTGATACAGACACCACTAAATCAACCTTAAAAACATCCCCAGAACCTGATTCAAATCAAGGTTTGATGGAAATTAGTCAGATGCACAGAAGGGAGAGCCGACACCACCAGAGATGTATCCAAGACAAGTTAGCAGGAAGAGAATGACCATTGTTCTCCACACAGGTGATACTCTGATTGGATGATTGAGCTCAGATGCAGCTTCATCAAGAGTTAATTCTACAGAGCAAAAATTAATACATAAATAAAACTAAATAACATTTTTTGCATTTGAGGAGTGAGAACCCTGAAAGGAAAAAAGAAGCCAGAAGGTTTGAATGTTAAAAATGAACTTTACTCTAAGCATCCTATCTCCTCAGCCCCTCGTCCAATCAAACTGCGGAAAGGTATCTGATCTGCCAACGCTCTGATGCCTTTCGACAAAACATGAGAGAGAGGGGATTTGTGGGGAAAAAAATAATCAAGCAAAGGCTTCAGAGATTAGACTGTGGGTATGGAGGGTGCTTGCACATGGTAAAACACTTGCAGCAGACTCCAAACCCTCAGAAGAAGGAGAGAACACAGCAGGCGGGGAATTCCCAGTGTCCCAGTGCAGTGGTATATAGTAAGATGGGCCAGGGCTGAGCAGGGGAGGTGGGAAGTGGAAGGCCAGAGTTTAGGCAAGACTCCACTTTATCTGCTGTACATGGAGCCTGACCTGCCTTAGCTGCATCTACCACCGAGGGCTCCTTGCTGAGGGCTCGCAGCACAGCACAGTGGAAGTCCTTATGTGGAGAATCTGGGGCTGAAAAAACCTCGTCTGCAGTCGAAAAAACATCGTCTGCCACTGTTCCTGCAGAGTCTGCTCCGCTCTGAGATGGCTCAGCTCCGCCGACAGAAGAGGAGCCGTGCTCAGAGGCTGGTGTGGCAGCTGTAGGCTGGGCTTTCTCTAAGCTGGAGGAGTCAGCTGCAGACGGTGGAGGTGGTGAGGCTCGACCCATCTGTGCCGTTTGAGGCGCCGGGCTGGGTACAGCAGAGGCTGATCCCCCCCTACTCATGGATCGACCCTGCACTGTGAATCCGTGTGAATGTGGGTGTGTGTGTGGAGAGATAACATCACAGTATGGCAAGTATGAAGTTTATTCTGTAGGATTTTTTTTTAAATAATAAGCTGATTTTAAACGTACTTCAAGTCTTATTGTTTACATTTTTTCCCCAATCATGTTTATGAGGTCATGAAAGCTCAGATATTTTCTGTGACGTTATTTACTCTGTAAACCACAAATAGGAAAATTATTGATTTGCCCCAATTATAACAAATCTCTTGAGGAAGGTCAAGTAAGTGGGACTATAGAAGAGGGGAGCTGTGAAATGCTGTTTTTCCCCTCCTTAAGACGCATAGTTATCAAGTCTGATTTTATCGCTAAGAAAACAAATTTCTCAACTCTTTAAGATTTTCCCCCGAGACAGGATCTCCATTTATTGTCCATTTGTTTATTTTTTTTACTTTTTGATGGACATACGAGTGACGCCAGTCTAAATTTTACTGTACCTGTATAATGAAAATGACATTGCGGGTGAAATTCAAAATAATTAGCAACGGACAAAATACTAAACTCCAGCCCACAAACTGATGGGTAATGACATGGTGATTGCAGCCATCTTTGATATACAGTTTATGTTATGTTATGAATGTTTAGATACGAACAGGTAAAGCAAACTTCCAATACATGTTTATGATACTTTAAGACAAAACTTATAGGTGGCAACTTTTTAAAATGATTTCATGTTGCTTTGCTCTTCACCTTCACCTCCTTTCTGTTTAAGCTCCACCTCCCTGCGGTACTCCTCCAGCTCCTGGTCGGTGAGTTTGGTGAAGGGGTTGGGCCCCTGCTTGCTGACGATTACCTTGGGCTGATACTCCTTTTCGATGATTGCCTTGGATGCAGTCACCAGTTCACCCTTCAGAACACAGAGAAGGGGAGGAGAAGGGAAAGCACAATCAGCAGATCAAAAAAATAAATAAAATCCACGTACTGTAAACTATAAATGGCATTTTATATGTAGAAATTTATGTATTTCTGTAGTTGTTCTTTACAAACAAAATGTAGTCTGAAGTGTGAATATTAGATAAGATGCAGGCAGAAACACAATATTAGCATTATCAGCCATGAATTCATAAATGTAAGGCAGAAGTAAAAGTTAGGAAGTTTCCTCATTAAAAACTGCACAAAAGAGGGAAAACTCCAAAACAAAACACATAAGAAAAGAGAAGCCTTTGGTATTCTTTTAAGACTTAATTAGCTTTGATATAGCAAAGCACTGAAGAGTCCAGTTCAAGCAGTCCAAGCCAACAGCGTAACAGAATAGTTACAGAGCAAATATTCATAACCTTTGTGCACTCACAATAACCTTTTATTTCACATAAAAGCATATCTGGGCCTTGCACACATAGCCCGCCCACCCATTGTAAGTATGTGCCATTTGCTTACACAGAGGATGGATGTGCATGAGTTAAGATAGCTGTGACATATAGGGGGTGTGGGGAATTCACAGCACAGACCACTACAATACACAACTTGAGATGAATATTACTGTAAGTCAGTTGTTTATATATCACACAATTTGTTATACATGCAGTAAAATTCATTCAATGTTACTGGATCTAAGCACTTTTCACTGCTCCTCTTGGGTTAAAAACAAAAGTCTGAAAAAATATCCATCGTTCAGACAGAGTCAGCAGAGTGTACTGAACATGAAGTATCCTTACCAACAACAAAATTGTCAGTTGAAGAAAACCAGTCACAACATTCAAAGACCCCTGTAATCTCTCACTAAACTATCACTCATTAGTCCCAGATATCTGCCTATCTGCTGTCTCACAGGTCGAATAATGGTGTGAAAAAAGTGATTGGAGCAGTGAGTACCTTTCTAATAGATTTAGCAGGACTATAGGAGCCCTCGGACACATCAAGGCCATCAATAGTGTCTGTACAGTCAGACAGAGGGGCGTCCTGCAATAGTAAACCCAGTGAGGGGAGGAGAGGCAAAACCCAGCTCTAACACTAGAACATTCAGATTAACACTGGTCCAGGCAGCCACGAAGGTGCGCAAATATTCACAAATCTTTCACACACACAAGCACAAAGGGGGAAAGACTGATTATATCTCATTTCAGTACAAAAGTTAAGTTGTATAGTATTGTGTTGTGTTTAAAGGTGTTCAAATACGGGATCTCACAAAGTCAACTCTGGTGGGCATAGCTTTAAAAAAGGAGGCCCAAAGAGCATAAACTGATTTAAAATAACCCAACATTGTTGTATTCATTTACTATGAATTCATAATAATACTTCAGTTATCGTTCCGTTTAATGACTTTCCACCTCTGCATTCACACCATTCCATACAAACATATATTGGAAATACATGCAAAGAGAGATGGTTCCACAAATAGTCATAGGGTTATGAAAAGGCTTGCAGTGACTGAACAAAGAGCCAGAAACATGCACTGTAAAGGCAAACTTTCCACACAAGGGGGTGCTACACAGTACAAAACAGCAGTTAATCAGCAGTTATGCACTGGTAAAGTTTTAAATTACCCCCTATAGCTTTATTATCTTAATCCAAAAACGATTAAGAGCTCTGTTTTACCAGAGCTATTAACTGAGCTAAAAAGCAGCGCTGGACAGGAAGGAGGAGCCATGCATACAAACGGCAGAGGGAAACATTTTAGGATGTTCCCACTGCTTTGCTTTGTCCCTCACTCATGCACTTAAAAAAACAAAACAAAAAAAACAAAACAAAAAAAACAATTATTTGACTATAACATGGAAATCATTTTAGCATTGTAAGAGACCAGCTTGCAAATGTTGTGTAAGGTAACAACCACTACTCTGCTACAAACAAAACAAATATTAAAAGCAAATTAAAACAAAGGAAAGACAATGTATGAATATGGACACAGCCTGAGCTGGCAGGTTTGGAGAGGAGAATGAGGTTGCCTCTCTCACTTACTACTCACCTGCCAGATTGACACTCTCTGTGATCAAAGAATAATTAAAGTTAAAGTCACCCCATGCTCTGGTAAACACAACGGATGACATATTTTTGTTCTTTGTAGTTATTCTGTCATAAATCTGATTTTAGTAGCAACCATGTCTTTCGTTAGAGTTCACAGTGGCCAGTACAGCTTCATGCACAATATTCACACATTGCAGCCTCTTGGTTTAGGAGGGAAACTCCTGACCTGGACAGAATGTAGAAGATTTTGTTTTAACTGAGCCAATCTCAATAGAAGACACTAACAGACACAAATCAAGCTAGTTCAACAGTGCACATTCATCTCCAGGTCAGGAGAGTTGTAGCTGTGAGGTGTTTCAGTGCTCAGTTCTCACACTGACCTGGTTAAAGGAGCGTTCGACCACAGTGCTGGCACACAGAACCTGAGACTGGGGCCCTGCTGTCTTTATGTCCTGCAGGTTCTGCTCCCGGATCTACAAACAAAAATATTCAACTCATAAAAAGGACAATAAAAGTATCCTGTTAAATATGCTCCTAGAAGGACGAAACACTTAAAGCAAACAGGAGAAAGCTGCGATACCTTATTCCTCATTTCCAGGACTTCCTTTGGGTTGGTGTTCAGTGGGATGAACTGATTGACTGCAGCAGCCTGGCGGAGCCCATCTTCCTTTGTCCACTGTAAACACCGGATAAAGAGTTAAAACCAGCTAAAACCAGACACATGAAATGACATGACAAACCCAAGCACAAAAATATAATCAGACAATACTATGCAGGCTTCACAAAACAAGAATCATGCTCAACTGAAACTGACAAAACTGGATGAGTGTAAAGTGGTCTGAATGTGGGAAAAAAAAAGTGAACCAATGATGATGAGGCGCCTTTTCCACTTTAAATTCAGGGGACTCCTCTACACCACAACCAACATAATCTATCCAAGGCTACTTTATCAACGTATCATATAACAGGACTTTCCCAGTAATACAGAATGTTAACTGACGCTTCATTTCCACAGAATGACTAAACATACAATAAAGCGGTAGATTTTCATACCTGACGTTACTAGATTTCATACTAGAGATGAAATGTGACCAGGAAGCTTAAATCAGTTTGGAAATGATCATTAAGGTTAGTACTTAAGTGTCAAAAAATAAGGCCTGTGGGCCAGAACTGGCCTGAAAAATTGAGCCTTGACTCCTGAGGTTAAGGTCACTTAGCAGATACACCTATGGTATGAATTTCAAAAATCCTACTTTGCCTCATTTTCTAGTTATCACATTTATAAACTTGAGTGCTCACACCACCCACCGGGGCAACAACAACAGGGGTAATGATTCTGACATCCCTGTCTTAGATCAAGGAATAGTAGGTTGTTGGAAGGTAAATGTGAAATCAGAGCTGACTTTAAAGGATTTACAGCAAACACTGTGTTTAACATTATTTAGGTGAGTATAAACTCATCTGCCTTTGAGATAATAAATGACAAAATGTTTAAAAGTGCCTATACACAGATTTAAGCAGACCTAGCAGCTATAAGTTCATTGCAAATCATTTGTATAACACGGATCTAATACGCTTTGGTCCCTCCACTGCATTGTTTCCCCCTGCATCCTCCTCCTCGATGCAGTCACAAAATTAAGTTTTTGTTTGGACGACTCAACTTCATTTTCTTCTTTGGGATTCCAAGAAACATTTGGTTTTACTTTCATGTTGTGTTTGGGTTTGTATTTGTTTTTTTTAATAACAAGTGATGTGTTGACCGGTGAGTCACATCACACTGCGTTCCTATGGGTTGCAGGTCACAGCAGCAGTCATCCTAAATTTCTGACTTTGTTATTTTTGCTATTTTTTGGTCACAAGACTGTCACTGTGCTCCACAGCAGCATCACTGGTGCTACAACCAACTTCTTACATCAACAAAAAAAACCCTCAGTCATCATCATTGATATGCTATTTTAACTTAAAAACAAGAACTGAAAACATCACAGGATGGAGAAACATAAAGTGGTAAAAAAGGTAAGGCGTGGAGGGGAATAAGGAGCTGGGTGGGTGGTTAGTTGTGAGGGAGAAGTGAGACATGACAGGGTGGCTGGGTGGGTGACTAAGACGATGAGGCTGGCTTACGAAGCGAGAGTGGCAGTGAGGGGTGAGCTGGCATCACCAAAGTCATTTTCCAGGCTGATACACAACAACAAGGACGACAGAGATAAGAGAGAAATACACCCGAGGACACCCGCCCATGTTGGGACAAAGAAATCGAATGTCACAACACCACAGACTAAGAATATCTTACCCAGCTGAGGATCAAAGTGTTAGGTGTCTTGCTAAATAATGTGTTCCTCTTAATGTGAAGAAACAACCCATGGTTGTAACGCAAACCTGGTAATGCTCAGCATGATTGCAGGGAAAACCCATTTCCGCACCAAACTGAATGAGCAGCAGGTGAATACAGAAATCAAATCTTCAGCTTTCATGCAAAATGTTTTAATTCAACCTTTGAAAACTAGGCATGTGTAAGCATAAGCTCATGACTTCATTCCTGTGTTTGTTACAAGCTTGGCTGGTTAGCTGCCAAACTAGGAGATAGATGAGGAAGGGAATCTTGATGGAAGTAGCTGGATTGGGTTGGTTGAGTATGAGATGAACATGTAAACACGATATACTCACTGAGAAAGAGTCTCACAACACAACATTTCCTACTTTCCCAACAGGAGATAATTAATTCAAGGGTCAGGTCAAATTTCAAAAGTTTTAGTTCTTTCTTTCTTTTTTTTGAGCCTGCCCCAAACAGATCCACTCATGCAGGCCTTGAGGTGCTCAAAGCCACTTTGGAAATAAAACTGAAATCAGAAGATTAGAGAGAATATGAATAATAGGAGGAAACGCACAAATGCACAACTGGGAGCAGTTGCAAGTGTTTGAGAAAAATTAAAAAAAAAAGGAGCAGGCTGCATAACTCTGTAGTGAAGTAAATCTGGAATAATCCAGTGTGTGTAAAGTATATTTAACCTGGAAAAATAAATACTCTCATCATGCCACCTTCCTTCTTTACTCTATAGTACATCTATACAGATTCCTAAAGATTTTTGGTGAATAAAGCCTCAAAACTCAATAAACTTTTTTTTTCTTTTTTTTTTTTTACTTCATTATCTTCTCACTCTTCTTTAAGCAACAAACGTCACGATGCACAGAGAACAGTTGTGTATTAAAGGATTGTGAACAATACTGTGGTCAGGAGCAACATCACCTGTTTGTGCCACATTCACCTGCCTACCTGCAGACTCATGCCACACCCCTGCTGCTCGCTCCTCTGGGAAAAACATCAACACCAACAATGCATTTCACTACTACACATGCAGTGGGGCATGCTGTGGGCAGCTGGCCGGGCATCATGAAGTATTAGGATACCAGAATAAGAGTAAAAATAGTCAAGACATAATCACAGCTGTGAGGTAAGCTGTGAGGTAAGTACAGAGACTGCAGTAGAAAGATGGATTACTGGAGCATTTAAGCAGTAAAAAGATAGATTGCACCGACTTGCATTTAAGCAGGCAAGCAGTTCTGTGAGAAAACGTGAAAAACTTGTAACATTCTTTTCATTTTCATTGTACTCAGACCCTCAGGATGCCGACCACCTACCCGTTACCACCAACAAGGTAGCTGTAAAATCTATACTATGAACAATAAGGTAGGCACAGACCAAGCAGTTGGTTATACAGCTTGGCACGCAGACACCGGACGAGAGAGACTGCAGCAAGGGTTTGACGTGATCATGTGTTATGTTCGTCCACACCTTAGGCTTCGACTTGGGGCTGCTGCCGTCGGCCCCGTCCTCAGAGGGCTCATCGGGGCGGCCGCTGGCATTTAGCCAGCGGGTCTTGTCGCGCTGGCCGCGCTGGAAGCTGTGTTTCAATGGGGAGCGAGCACCTGAGTCACTGTCCTCCCCATATGAGTAACCACCGTGGGCGGAGGAGGCCATCTCCCCATCACTGTACTTTTTACCTTTGTCTCGCAAGGCTGGGCAGCGGTAAGGATAGCCCGTTCTGTAGCCCTGGATGGAGACAAAGCAAAAAAAAAAAAACGTGTGACTATGTATGTGTCTTGCATATAACTTAAATCATCCCTCTCCCTTTGTGCTTACCAAGTTGTCGAGCATTCTCATGAGGGCTTCAAACTCCTGCTCCCCGACTTGCCACTTGGGATGGGTTGAGGACCCGTCACCAGCTGGCTCAGGGACCTGTGGGCGTGACTTGTATTTCCCAGGGTCCAGCATCACCAGATTATCTGGCCCTCCAGCGCTGGCCAGTGTTCGTACCTACAAAATATTAAGGGTGGTATACAAACAGACCAAACCATCGAAAGATCCAGAATCCAGAAACAAAACCAAAAAAAGAGAATGAGGACACAAGCACATCAAGGGAGAGACACAGACATCCAACACAAGGACAGATGAACATGTATAAAGAGACAAAGAGACAACGAACAAAAGCATTAGTTGTGAAAAACGCATACAAACATGTATGACAACCACATGACCTAAAACATGAAACAACAAAGCCAGAATATTACAGATCGTTTGACATTGAATCTTTTCAATGTGTTACCACTACCAGGTGGTTCAGTGTCCTACCTGGATCTCACAGGCAGTGACCAGATTGTGGATGTAATAGAAAGCCTCCTCCACTGTTTCACCTACTGACACCAAGCCATGGTTCCTAAGGATCAACACCTGAAACAGACGAAATAAAAAGAAAATTCCCTTTAGAAATAAATTCTCTCCTTTTGATTTCTATTACACACACAAAGACTCTGCTGTTACCTTGCTTTTAGGGCCAAGGTTTCTCTGTATAAGAGTACTTTCTTCCTCATCCACGAGGATGCCGTAGTAGTCATGGTAGGCCACCTCACCCAGGGATAGGGCCTCAGGAGAGATGGGTAACAGTCCGCATTTCATGGCCGACACCTGCAAAAAAAATTAAACAGGCTCAGACAACACCTAACCAACTATGTTTTTAAATTGTAAATTTACAGCATGCACTACTGTTGCTTACCGCTGCCCCTGCAGGTGTATGTATATGTACGATACACTTGACATCAGGACGTGCAGCATAGATGGCAGAGTGGAGAGTGAAACCGGCCTGGTTGACTCCAAGGTTGGTGCTGCCACGGTCTACCATTTCACCTTGGAGATTAATCTTCACCTAGATGGTATAGCAGATTGTGTAAGGTTGTATAACCCCGTTTTGAAAACTTAATCTCAAAAGATGTAAACTCATGCAGCTCAAGGTATTATGAGGGGAAATTGCTTCATTCAATAACAAAGGGAAAACAAATCTGAAGTGCTTCTTACCAAACTGGAGGCAGTGACTTCACTGTAAAGGAGCCCAAAGGGAACAATAAGGAAGCGCTCCTGGTCTGAATTCACTCTGACCTGTAAGACAAGAAGACAGCAATGTCAGATTACTGAAAGTGGCTCAAACTGAGCAGCACTGTGAGGAAACAACACTCACAGAATCCTGAACAGAAGTAAATTTCTATGGGGAGGAGGAAAAACAAAAACTGGAGTTACTGTGCAGATTAGTGTACTGTTCAGAGTATATTTTCAGTTATACATCGTGCTGACCACTAACATTAAAGCTATTTAGATAATGCTTTCAAGTAACTCCCAGTATAGGTAACGAGTTGTGAGAGTTGCTTCTAGAAGATCTTTGGGATGTCTCTCTGCTGATTATCACAGTAAAAGATGTAGGGCTTTTTACTTCTTTGCTTATTGGACAATAATGTGAACAAACATAGTATTCGTTCAGTGGTCTCTTTGGGTGTAAAGAGACCTGTTTAGGCTAGCACTCTGGATTAAGCCTTCACTGAAGCCATCGTTTTATGAAATTATGTGCAGTGGAAGTGTCAATTGCAGGAAAAATATGTTTTACACCTTATTTTGTGACACAGTCAACAAACCTTTGAAAGTCTTATTTGTTTCGACTGGTGATTGTACACACATCCCAGTTACCATTGAAATTGAAACTCTCTCCTTGATTTAAAAATGAGCTTAAAAATAACCACCCAGAATCATCCCAGGATCATTGTACAGTTACAAGACTTGCTTCTAAAATGCATCAATGCATCAGACTCAGACTGCATGGGCATACTAAAAGCTTAGTGTCAAAATATCAACCTGACATTTTATTATGGAATGAATGAATGAACGTACTGTGAGGTGGTTGTAGATGAGCTCAGACCAGCCAAACAAGTCAGCCAGCCGATAAAAGGCAGCCAACTTGCAGCGCAGCAGCTTCTCGCCCTTGTCGTAGGAGATTGAGTCAGAGCCACGCAGATCATTGACTGGAGTCACCATTCCCAAACCTGTGAAGAAAGAAAGAAAAGGCAATCTCACATACAACAATTAGATGGGTTCTGCCACTGAAATCTGACTAGAGTCTTTGTGCTGAAATCAACTCTGGCATGCTGTGCATTACTCATTCTGAGCACAGACACAGCAGGGCTGAGGTCAAGAAGTCACACACAGCCATTCTCTTCTCTGCTTACTCATATTGAGTGCCGCCATGCCTCCTTGTGGTGCTGCAGGGTACATGGAAGGCATACTGGTGGTCATGAAATCTGCGATCTGCTGTAGAGCCAATAGGCTTGTGGGCGTCTTTCCCTTCTTCAGCTGATCCTGGATCATCGTCTCTAGCTCCTCGCAAAAGGCCTGGAGGGCCGTTGACACAGACACGACAAACAAACAAAAAACAACAAGCCACAAAACAAACAAATGATCAATTTTGAATTTTAAAGGGTGGTAAGAGTAACTTTCAAAAACAGGGCAAATCCTAAAGGCAGAAATAACCACAGATGTACACAGACCTAATATTAATTCAAAAATGCATAAAACTGAGCCTGTATGAAAGGGCAACTTCTTCAGCTTCTCTCTGCACAGTAAAAACTTACACATCAGTGCTTTTCATGCATATAATCGACCTCTGAACAATTTTTTTTTACTGTCCTGGGCATTCTGCTGACAAATCAACAAATCAAGAGATTTCTGAACATATGAACCATGACCTGACTCTGATCCATGAAAACCAAACAACATGAACAAGCAGAATTAATGAGTACGTCCTACTGACAGGGCTCTGTAGGATCATGGAGACTCTTTTCCTCTGCTCCATCATGTTGAAGTCCTGTCGCAGGTCCGGTGCCATGTTCCTCTCCCTCTGGTACTCTGGACTGCTCTCATCTACCCGGTCAAAATATCGCTCCTTGTGGGGGGCTGTGGTGGGAGGGGGGGCTGTCACCACCCCGGCACCTGACTCGCCGTTCATCCTGGGCTGGCCTCCTGTAACAGTGTCAGAGACTACTGTTAAACATCTAATAGAGTAAAACAAATAGTAACATTGTACATTTCTTAAGTGGGTTTGTGTGGTAGGCTTAATGTAGATCTTACGGTCATAATGTAGTCTGTAAAATGAGAAAGAAATTGTTCAATTTAACACTAATTCAAAAACTGCTAAATATATAATTTGAAAGCAATTCATGTTTTAAGTGGTTATCCTTTTACTAGAATATAAATCAAAATTTGTACTTTCTGTGTGTTTTTTGATGGCACACCTATGTACTGTCTGACATACAGTATATAGATTTCCATCATAACAGTCAACACCATCTGTATTTGAAGCTTGGTTACAAAGTGCTTTAACTTAAGGAAGTTTCCTGTTGTAAAAGAGGAAATGAGAATCACCCATCATTAAACCAGAAAGCCAATCATGCAAACCATACTGCCCTTACATCCTGCCTTGGTCATGTGACCACTCTTCCCATAGAGGTTATCATTGATTTCCACAATGTGTTTCCTGAAATCACAACAGCACTCCACCGTCAACTCTGGCCAAAGGAAATAAAAGAAAAACTGAAAATACAGCCAGCTGTATCTTGTTATTTCATGATCTTTGTGATAGATATTTACTTTTTTTTAAATTGATTTGAGTCTTCATTTAGATAGGACAGTGATGCAAAGTCAAAAGCTGGGAGAAAAAACAAGGGGAAGATGAGCAGTAAGTGACCTTGAGGCGGACTCAAAATCAGGCCTCTGCTATAGCCTTACAGTGTATGGGTTTCCCTGCTCAGTCGTGTGAGCTATAACAGTGCATGTTCTGTTATGTTGTTGACATGACTTATAGCATATAGCCTGCTAATTCTAACAGTTACTTCTTACGGCTTTGCATATTACCTAAAGCAGCTGCTATAAAACAATAAACTGACAACAACAATAGTGAGGGATCTGCAGACATGAAGCCAGATTTATAGTAGATCCAAGTTGATCCTACTGGCTGAGTGCTTGTAAGGATAAATAGTTCGCAGCTGTCTGTCACTGGACAAAGTACTCAAGTGCTGACTCTGAAGGGCACAGACAAACTCATGAGGAAGAGTGTGTGTGTGTGTGTGTGTGTGTGTGTGTGTGTGTGTGTGTGTGTGTGTGTGTCAGCCCATTAGTTCAAATCAATACAAATGTTGAGCCAAAAGTGCCATGACAACAGCATACTGAACTCAAAGCATCCAGAATCACAGAGGGAGCTGACGGACCCTCTTTTTTCTCTTCCTGTCCGCTTTTATTAGTGTTCTGAGATTTTCCACATCAATAACACCAATATTTCCACAGATCTGAGGTCACGAATTTAAATCAGGACTTGGTTTCCCGTTTTGCAAATTCTACACCAACAATACTTTGTCCAATTTTTTTACTTAATAAACTTAATCTGTACAACCGATAGGCAGGTTGTAATACCTTCATGTGTGGTATAGTCAGACCAACAATATAATAATTAAAGACCACTGACAGAGACCAAAGATAAGTCCTAAACATGCACCGTCTCTTTATTAAAGTGCCTTTATTAAGTATGATAACCGGTGTGTATCATATCAAAGTAATTATTGTAAATCTAATATTTAAAATCTAATAACAGTAAACATGTCACTTAAACACAGTAAAGCACATCACAAAAGTCTGAGACCCATTAAAGATAGCAGTTACATTTAGCAGCACTAGTTTGGCTGGTCAATTGATTTACCACCTAATGCTTATGGGATGTCCAACTTTAGTGCCATTTGCTTGTCCCCTATGCATTTCAATTAAATAAGGCTTTCGGCAGACCTCTCACTCCAGCAGTGCCAGGATACAAAGTAACTGTTGCTTTTACTGCTTGGCTCCATCTTTTAATTGCATTTTTATACATTTGCTTTTATTTAGCATTATGTTAAAAAAAAAAAAGACCCTTATTTTAAGATAAATGTGTTTAAATTCAATTTACCAATTACATTCAAACTAAACATGCATTTCCTACATTTTGTGCATTCTATCAAAAAAGTTCGTGTATAGAATTGTCATCATTTTTAGTATTACTCATTGAGCAAAATGATAAAAATGTAAATACTTGAAACAAAATAATCCTTACGTCTTCCACGTGTAAGGAAACTCCAGACTCTGTCCAAAGAGGAGACAGCTGAGGTTGACATGGCTATCTTTGCAATGGCATTCGTCCCCGATTTCCTAAAATCAAGCACTTTTATGTTCTTCACCTTTTGTTTTCCTATCTGTTGCTTTCCTTTTGTCATAAAAACCAACTTAAAGTGCAATTAAGAAATAAGAGAATGAGAAAAGACAGCGAGGCTGCATACTCTTTGAAACCATTCAGGGAAAAAAACTCAGTTTTGATTCAGTCGTGTAACTAGGGCGTGAGTTATTAACAGAGGAATACAGAGCACTGAGATCTCTCTCCCTAATGAGTGCCAGACACTCATTAGGGAGAGAGATCCTCTGTCCCTGGCCTATTAATGATGCAAGGGAATCTCCAAAAAGTAATTTTTTCCATGTTGTTGGTCAATCTCTATCAACAAAATATACTTTTTTAAATGTACAGCATAAAATGTTACATATTTAATCAAATTTGTCAGCAGCACTGCTTTGATTGTGTACTTTTGCACATATATTTAAGCCATCTGTCACAAATCATGGAAGATCTCTACCTGATGAATCATTATGAATGAAGTCACTGAAATATATGCCAATCACATAGAGCCTCAATAGGACTAGAAAAACAACTTTTACAGGTCTTGGTACAAAGCTTTCTGCTCTTCAGCCATTCAGGAAACAGATCAGAGGAATTAATGTGTCATGTGAAGATAAAAGGTGTTAATGACTGATCCTCAGTACATGAAGGGGCAAATCAATCATTTTAAAAACTGAAGCAGTGGCAGCTTTTGTCACGCTGCTTAAAAATATGAAAACAAAATCTACTATATTTAGTTTGATGGAGAGCTGCACAATTAATCACATTTTAATATCCATCCCAATTTTCGCTTCCGATAATTAAATGAAGGTTTTGAAGTCACCAAGTAACAGCAAATCAAGCGCTTCCTAAATCAGCGCCAAGTTAATGCCTCCACGAGCCGATCACAGCTGAAAGTGTAATAAAAACATTTTTGTCACTAAAAATGAATAATCAGAATCTCAATACAGATAAAAAAAAAATAGTGATAATCATTTTGGCTCTAGTGCGATGTGCGAAACATCCAGAACAGCAACTTAAAACCCAAAGAATGCTCTTTAAAAAGGTGCAATATGTAAGTATTTTATGCACATATGCAGGGATCATGCAATTATCAGACTAACCAATCGGGCCATTCCTTTTTCACTTATCAGTATCAACATTCTTCTTTCACTCCTCACTGATCCCCCACCTAAAAAACTGACTGTTTACATATCACGCAGGGCTCGCAAAATCGCTAGCCCGACATCCCGGGGCTAGCGATTTTTTCAGTCAGGCTACCAAAATCTAACTCAGCCTTGCCCGTCAGGCTATCATAGGAAGGAAAATATATGTCAATGCTTTTGCATTCTTTCGCCAATGTAGCTGAGTAATTATGTCATTGGCATCGATGAGCCACTATCAATATGTGACATATTGAAATCGCGTCTGAATTTGCGCTTGCTTTTTGCTTTCACTTTCATTTTGCGATCCCACGAACTGTGTATAGAGAGCGACAGCACTGATTGGTGAGTGACGAT